TGTGCTGTTCTCGCACTAGTAGTTGTATACTACAGACCAGTACAAGTACAGACACAAATTTTCAGCGCTCTATAGGCTTTAGTTCTCAAGAAATAATCGTTTTAAGACGGGAACCCGACTGTGCGAAGCTAAATTCAGTGTTTCTCGAGAACTAAAGCCTGTAGAGCGCTGAAAATTTTTCTCTGTACTTGTACTGGTCTGTAGTATGCAACGACTAGTGTGAGAACGGCACAGCATCACTTTGGCAAGAACATGAAAATTTTCGTTTTCTCGATTTCTATTCAAGGAAAAAATACAGCAACAATATATATAAATGTTTGATGTGGATAGGGTATATGTGAGCAAATTAGGAATTTTCTGGGATTTTTCTTAACGGAGTTGCGAAATTTTTTTGTTTTTCGGGCGGTTAGATCTTTTTGGTTTTTGGCTTCAAACTCGGGATGGATTTGAACTGATGCGAAAGTGAGAAGCGCATCTTGTAGAGCTTGCTTTGCTCTATCAAACGGTATCTTGAAACCTGTCTAAAACCAAGAAGTTCATGATTTATTGCGATTGAAAGTTTAAACGGACGAAACTTATGGGACAACCTGATATATATAATGTAATTCCGCAGAGCTTAATGCAAACATAATACCCCAAAGTTTTACAGATGACTCCGCTTTTTGACCGAGAAAAGTCCCTTCAGACAAGTCCGCCCTACAAATATAAGCTTTTTTTCATTATAACTACCCTAAAATCTTGTCAGTTAAGTGCGAAGACTGTTAGATAAGTCAGAACTTATCTGCAGATGGATTTATTGATGGAAGATCCTATCTGTGAGATTTTAGGGTATGTCACGATCGTATGTCGAACAATCCCGTATTTATAGGCACCGTCCACCCATAATCTCGAATTCAATGTTTTTGTCGCCTTCATGACTTCTGAAAGCCCTGATTCCGAATATGGAGTCGAAAATCCGCGAAACCGCCAAAAACCCCTGTTTCGAGAACCCTCTGCAACAAGCGCAGGCGAGATGAAGCATGCAAGTGGGAGGGGCGACCGGGGTCGCCCCGCCTACTTTGCTACTTCCGGAGCGGGTTTCTCGCTCCAGAAGCAATCTTTTGCGGCGAAGCTTGGAGATTTGTCTAGTATGGGGGCCCACACTAGTATGCCATCATAATGGTGCCGACGGTGCCTTTAAGTCAACTTGAGGTATTGATTTCTACCGTAAACCCACCGTACTCTCACAAAATGGCGCTATCGTGCGAGTATAGTAAGGTATTCATGTCCTTCCCCCCCCCTCTTCTAAACGTCCTCCCTCAATAGATGAGGCAAACCCAAAACAACGATAATACGCACCTCCGTCACCTCTCCGAGAAGGCCGTGTAGCCAGCGCGCTCCAATGGCAAGCGATTTTCCGCGGCCTTTCAAATTTCAAATCAAAAAAGGCGCGAGAACTGCATATTCTGCTTCCCTTCGAATTTTGTCATTCTGTTTTCATTCCCTTTCATTCCTCTTGCTTGTAACATCTGTTAATTCGTTGTCACAAAACTTTTGTTTGTCAAGGTACAACTGGAAATGAGTGCAGGAACTGGAACGGTGCAGGAAGTCGAGGACGTTGATGGAGTTCGCATACAAGCAGAGTTCAGCCGGTTTTTACTGGAGTGGGTTTTCTTTTATGACTTCTTTGGTTATAAGTTCCGAACTCTCTGCGTCTTATGCCCTATTCTTGAGTGATCTATCTATCCTGTCTATTTATCATATGTCTAAAGCTATCATTTGGCAGAAAATGAATGAAAACTGCAGTCGGGGCTTTTCTGCAAGACACTACTTGTACAGATGATCTTCCTGTAGTAGCTCATTCTTAACTCTGCTAGTGAAATAAAAATTTCACGCAAGAAATTCCAGTTCCAGTGCTGAGGCAACAAGTACAATATTCTTCAGATACACGGATGAGAATGGAGTGCGTATCTACGAAAGCGCTATTTCGGCTTTGATCGAACCTGAAAGAAATACGCTGTATGTTGATATGCGTCATATCCACAGCTACAGTGCTACACTTTATGGAACAATCGAGCTGCAGTTTTACAAGTAAGCAAAATAAAAATATTTATTCAGAGTAACTTTCGTACCTAGGCTCTATCCTTACATCTGCGAAGCTTTGCAACTAGCAGTCATTGATACTTGCACGGAAGATGCTGACAGGCAACGAATGCACAAAAAAGAAGTGTATGTCTCATTTGGTGGACTGGAGAACCGTGTTAACGTAAGCCAACCTTATTGATTGAGACATCACTATTTATCGCTATAATTCTAGGTTCGTGAATTAACAGCGGAGAAAATAGGAGCTATGGTTTGCATAAACGGACAGATTGTGCGAACCCATCCTGTCCATCCCGAACTAAGCCGTGCTACCTTCGTTTGCGAAGACTGTGGAGTCACAACTAGAAATGTGCTTCAGCAATTTCGATACACACAAGTGCGGATACTTTGCTTTAATTCGCGTTTCTAGTTTGGATAAGTCTCATAGCGAGCTTTTTAGCCTTCGCGCTGTACAAATCCTCAATGTATGAATCGCAATAGGTTCAGCCTTGATGTTGATGATTCGTCTTTCGTTGACTTCCAGAAAATAAGAATTCAGGTAGTAATCGTAATTTTATCTACCTGCTTGTGTAAGTAACTGCTTTACACTTCCATTCCTAGTCAATGTTTCTCATTAGGAAACACAAGCTGAGCTACCTCGTGGGTCGGTACCTCGAACTTTCGATGTGATTGTTCGCGGTGAAATGGTTGAATCAGTACAACCAGGTGATCGATGTGCCCTCACTGGAACCCTCATTGTGATTCCAGATATATCTCAACTCAGCTCGCCAGGTATGCTACTTCTTCGCATTGTTTTCTCTCTTAACTATGCAGTCCAGGGCTCCGTGCTGAAAGTGGCGGTGGCAATCGTGGTCGGGCATCAGAAAAAGACACAGGGTTGACGGGCTTAAAAGCTCTGGGAGTGCGTGATCTCAACTACAAATTAGCGTTCCTTGCTTGCCATATTGAGTCAAACAATACCAAGGTTTGTTCGCCTACAAACCTGAGGCTTCAACGTTGATGGAAGTTTAGTTTGGCGGAAAAGACTTTACACACGAGAATATCGATAGCTTGCAATTATGGAAGCAAATGAGCGACCAAGAGCATGCAGTTTTGAAGACGATGAGTGAAGACAAGCGCATTGCTGAAAATTTGGTCGACAGTCTGTTTCCAAACATTTATGGAAACGACGAGGTGACGCCTTTGGATTAGCCATACTATAATTTGAGAATTATTTTCATCTTTCAGGTAAAACTCGGTGTTTTGCTCATGTTATTTGGAGGTGTAGCAAAGAAAAGCAAACATGAAGGCACTACTTTACGTGGTGACATTAACGTGTGTCTTGTTGGAGATCCATCAACAGCGAAAAGTCAGATCTTAAAGTAAGTGAACATATTTCTTGTTTTGGCAAAAAGGATTTTTTCCTTTTGCAGAACGGTTGAAGAGTTTTGCCCTCGAGCTATCTATACTTCCGGCAAGGCTTCTTCAGCCGCTGGTCTAACAGCTGCTGTGGTCAAGGTAGGAACTTGGGCACTATCTGTTATTCTTATTGCTAGTGCAATAAGAATAAATAAGAATAGTTAGCTATTTGATTCATTACACAAGCAGGTCTTATATTTAGGACGAAGAGTCCTTCGAGTTTGTGATTGAAGCTGGTGCGCTCATGTTGGCCGACAACGGCGTGTGCTGTATTGACGAGTTTGACAAAATGGATCCGAAAGACCAAGTTGCTATCCATGAAGCTATGGAGCAACAGACTATCAGTATCACTAAGGTAATGGTTAATGATACCCTGTCGTTATGTGAATTGTGTGGCCTGATTCTACTTTGTGACCCAATTAACATCAATTCTTTTTTGCGCTTTTTGCCCGGCCTCTACTGTTCAAATCTACGCTTTAAGTTTTAGGCTGGAGTGAAAGCTACTCTGAATGCCCGAGCTTCTATACTCGCTGCAGCAAATCCAGTTGGAGGACGATATGACAGATCACGTCCACTGAAGCATAATGTGCAACTTTCAGCACCCATCATGAGCAGATTTGATCTGTTCTTTGTCCTTGTGGATGAATGTAACGAGGTGAGTGTAGCACTCTTCGAAGTTTAGTGACAGACCATTTACTCTTTCTTCTAGGTTGTGGATTATGCAATTGCTCGTCGAATTCTTGATAACCACCGCGCTATCTCTGCTCATCATATTCGAGAAACGAAGTACTCTACGGATGACATCCAGAAATACATCGCCTTCGCAAAGTGTTTCAAACCTCAGGCATGCCCATTTCCTTATACATTCAAGCCTTCTTATATCGTGCCATATAGATTAGTGCCGAAGCTGGTGAAGCTCTGGTCACTGCCTACAAACGATTGCGCATGAGTGATAGCAACAATGCTGCTACTTCTTCATGGCGAATCACTGTTCGTCAGCTGGAGTCATTGGTGCGATTATCTGAGGCACTAGCTCGTTTGCACTGCGCTGCTCAGGTAAACTTTTTCTGAGCAGAGACGCTATTGAGTTTTATCAGAACTGTGAGTATAACACCGGTTTAGGTTAGTGTGGAACATGTCAATCAAGCCGCGAAACTGCTCAACAAATCTATAATCAGGTGAGCAAGCGTGTTCGAGTTCTTCAGTCGAATTTAACGAGAACATGCATTATAAAATATAATATTTACAGAGTAGAACAACCAGACATCGCACTCGATGAAGACTTCGAAGCTGACACGATCATGGAAAGAGATGAAGACAAAGAAAACGAGGAGGAAGCGATGGAAGCAGATGTAGATGGAAAGACAAAGGTAGGTGTTGAAACACTCAAGATTATCTAAGTGCTGGGCTTTGTTTGAATCGAATTTAAGTACTCTGAGTACCTGTCTGTTAAGGTCGACCCGTCTAAACTGAAAATCACTTTCGAAAAGTACAAGCGGTTGGCTGATATGCTTGTGCTTCATATGAGATCTGATGAGGAAGGTGTCGACGAGGAAGAGTACGAAGGAGTGCGACAAGACTCTTTGATAAATTGGTAGGTGCCTCTTTTTCTGCTTAAGGACTTTTTTGGTGGGCGCTAACATTGTTGATTCGTGACATAGCAGAGTCAGCAGTTATGTCTTTGTAATACGAGCCCTAAATTATCCACACGCTACCGCACAGGTGCCTGATCAGCAAATGTCCACGGTCCGGCGTTTACGGAGCGTACATTCATGAGTTTTCAATTGTTTCGTTACTTTCCCCTTTACATTCGTTCCTTCCAGGTATCTGGAGATGATCGAAGGCGATTTGGAGTCAGTAGAGGACTTGAACATTCAGCGTACTATTTGTCAGAGAGTTATCCGTCGTCTCGTCACTGAGGATCATGTGCTGATTGAAATGGATTCAGACGAGAAAAATCCCTTGCTATGTGTTCATCCTAATTATGTGGTTACGGATCAATAATTGTCAATCTATGGCCGGGCAGACTTCACGCGATTTGATCGTCGCGACTGAATCGCGACGAGACAACTGTTACAACATCATTCCATGCCGATCAACTTGCATTTCGGTTGTGATACTTTTCCAGCCCGAAATTTTTGAATGTGAAATGAAAATGAATGGAAATGTCGGCGATTGAATCGCGACGATGAAGTCGCGTGAAGTCTGTCCGGGGCCTATGGCACTTTTTTAACTTGAGCACATTGGTAATCTCAATCCTAAATTCATCCCTCTATACAAGTATAGAAATTCGCAACTACTAACTTTGCTTGACTGTTGACTGCTTCTTTGGGTATTCACTGTCGCAAGCGAAGTACATAACTTTACTAAATCAAGTTTGAAGATTTTTCCATAACTTTACTAAATCAAGTTTGAAGATTTTTCAAAAAGTATATTACAGCTAACTTTTGACAGTGATTTGAAGTTGTCGAGATTGTAAACAGCAAATTCACTGCGTTGATGTGTCTTTCTTGAACATTTGCACATTTTGGCATGACTTCCCGTTGATTAATGTTTACACTTTGATTCTCTACGTCTTTTTTGCTCTTTTCCTGACTTGTGTATAAAGCTTTCCACTCATATTATTGATGAAACACACCTGATGGTTGTTCGGTCTATAGATAGATAGCAGTTTTCAAACGTCAACGCATACATATCACCCAAGGCAAGCAGAGAAGAGCAATTAGAAGCTAAAGCAGTCAATGACTGCAGAAAGTCTTTTAGTTTGGCAACCTAGAAGAGATAAGAATTTAAAACAATCGTTCTTGGTACAGTATATGTCAATAACATGCTCCTTTTGTTCTATACTCTCGGTGCCACCAACGTGAAAGGCACCCGCCATACTTACCCCTCTTGATCCGCTTGATCCGCTTGCTCCGCTTCTTGCAGGACGCGTGCAAAACGCGCGCACACAACAGTCTGTCATTTGGCGTCACGTACAGCGAATTTGCCCAACCATACGAGATTGCTTTTTACCTCGCGGCGCCAAATGACAGACTGCTGAGTGCGCGCGTTTTACACGCGTCCTGCAAGAAGCGGAGCAAGCGAATCAAGCGGATCAAGAGGGGTAAGCATGGCGGGTAACAGAGCAAGTCATGTGACTGTTCACCACAGTCTCGCATGGGAGCTAACTACGCATGCGCAACGCAAGTACACCATGCGGACTCTCAATCGATGAGGCCATTTTGAATGCCCGAGCCATACGCGCGCGCGAACGTGCGCGAAGCTCATTGCGCTTGCGAAAAAAGGGAGCACGTAATTGACACAGACTGTAGGGTGTGGTCACTGCCGGCTCATGGAGGTTGGACCCCGCAGCCGCTTCACTTGGACCCTGGGCCAGTCTGCAACAAATGCTTTTAGCATTTGTCATTCCTGTTTACGCGACTGAAAACTCGCAAGCGTTCCAAGATGCTCAAAACTTATAGGCAGCGTCTCGGCAAAGTGATGAGTACAAGAATTTTACAGCGATGCAATAACAGTTCTCCCAAATCTATATATATATATATATATATATATATATAAAACTCAAAAATTGTCAGTTTGGAGGGTATGTGCGTTATAGAAACGCGCGCCGCTCAACCGATTAAGCTGAAACTTTACACACATATGTTTTCGAGCCTTGCGCAGATGATAGGCTACTTTTTGCAGCGATTCGTTGTGTCGAGACGCAGATAATTAGATGGTCCGACAGTCTCCACGCCAACTGGGCGGTGCCCAGAATCTCCAGATGAGCTGGCACTCCCCGGGTGCTCGGTGGTCCCCTCCCCAATTATGTCCCCCAACTTTATATATATGTCATAATGATAAAATCATCTAGTCAAGATTTGTTCTGTTAAGAAGCAGGAAACAAGGGTAGAGGGATCAAGTGACGAGAGTAATTAACTCGTACACTTGACATGGAGGTCCCGGGGAGTGCCAGCTCATCTGGAGATTCTGGGCACCGCCCAGTTGGCGTGGAGACTGTCGGACCATCTAATTATCTGCGTCTCGACATGTCCATTCCATTGTAAAGCTCGTCCCGAGCTTTCATCCTTGACCATGGCTTCGGGAACGAATTCATCATAACATTTGATCATCCCGGAGTTTACACGTTGACCATTTGACCATCCTCAACCATGCTGTCATCACTCTCATCATCATCGATCGCTCTATCGTCGTCATTGCATCATTGATCGAGTTCTTTCATACGTCGACTCATCATTGATCGATTTTTTTTTTCATATCATCGTCATCTTTATCGATTGATTGCCGGACAATTGATGGCGCTGCTTGCTTGTGCATTGATCATCTGCGATTAGCATTCATCTTCGAAAACCATTCATCTTTTTCGTTGCTTTCGTGGGGATCGAACTTCATGGCTGGGTTGCATCTGCTGGATCGCGTCTTCACGTTGCATAGAGGAGAGCCGGTAAGAGACAAGGTAAACAGAAGGGCGAACGCCAGAAGGCGAAGCGCACGCTCCTGTAATTGCGGACGCGTATCCAGGCGAGACTTTCAAAGATAAGCGCGAGTTTCTGAAGACCATGATTTTCAACAATGGTCTATCGCAAAACATTAAGCAAAAGTTAAAGTTTTTGGGTCCGCTCAACCCAAACTTTACTGAGTTAGTCAAAGATGCTGAGCGAATTTGGGAACTAATCAAAACCGACGAAGTGGCTTTTGACCCTTCTCTTTTCAACTCAAAAATGGATAGGATTCTCAACCACCTTGAGAATCCCTTTCCTCAAGTCAATAGGACTTATCATTCAAATCAAAATCGCTCTAGCTATAATTCACGTCAATATTCTCCGCCGCGCTCATCACATAACAACCATGGCTACCGCAATCAATCGCGTTCTCCATCGCGCTACAATAACTATAATTACCGTAACCAATCGCGCTCTCCGCCGCGCTACAACAATAATAACAATAACCGTAATCGCTCTAGGCATGTAAGGTTCGCGCCAGAGCCTAGTTACCAACAGTGGCAATCTAATAGCAACAATTATCAATCTAGATCTCCTCCGCGTAATAGAAATATGTCTTCGAAAAGAAATCAAGATAATTCCAATCGTTTCCGTAACAATAACAATTCTCGTAATCAATTCAATTCCAACCAAAATTTTCACAATAGCTCTCGTTCACCAAATCGTAATCGGAATAACAACCGAAATTCTTCTCGAAGGGGTAATTCGCATGTAGTTAACTCTATAGCCGCAAATTTTTCCACAGGCATTACAAATTCTGTAAATTCCCTATTTCTAGTCGCAATAATTGCGCTAATTTTTCCTACCTCTTCTGCTTTCTCAATGGACTATCAGCTATGCTCATCTGGTAAATCAGGCTGGCCTGTAGCCTTTCCTGAAACTATTTCTTGCGCGAAATCAACCAATTTAAGTAGTGTGCTGTTAACAATGGCCTCTGTTTTTGTAGAAAAAACAGAACCAACCACGCTAACTGCATTTCATTGTTTCAATAAAACTAGGAAAGTTTGCGCGTCATCTTATCTGCACATTTCTTTCTCGCTAAATAGCGATGAGGAATTTATGTCTCCCATCGATCCAATTCTCTGCCATAATATTGCAAAAACCAAAAAGTATCTTGATGGCCCTTACACATATTTTCGCCTGAAGTGTTTGGTTCACAACGTCCTATTCATTATTCTTATCCCTGGTTTTTTGGTCAAAAGTGCACAGTTACCACAAATATTTATGTAGAAGAAGGCGAAATTGCCACTTTTGATGGTGACCAATTGCTAGGACAGTTTGGCGACATGGCAAATTGCACTCTTAGCCATGATTACTGTCAACTATCACGTGGTACCGTAGTTTGGAAGTCAAAAGACGCTCCACTTGCTTGTAAATTTGTAAAAGCTATTGACAGTATAGCATATGTTACACCAAATCACATTCTTCTTGAAGCAATACAATCCGCATTCACATACAAGAGCGTTTTCTTTCAAAAATCACAACTTACAAAGTGGTGTTTGTCCGAAAACGCTATTGCAATGGACAATGGTGTATTTATATTGCTTCCAGAACTTTTGGGAGAAGATCCTCGCACAATTTTTGATAGTAACATAACTCTAGTGCGAGAAATCAACGAAAAACACTTCAACTTCTCCAAAAGCTTTCCAATTTACGATGTAGACACTACCTACACTCATAAAATTCGCAGTCCTTATGCATCACATGGCAATACTTTTTCAACTTCTAGCAATGCCACTATTCTTTCATCAATACTTTTGAAATCAAAACCACTTCAAATCAATCAAGTAAAACCGCTGATCAGAGGAAAACGATCTAGCAATACAAAACCCGCTCATAGGACAATTAACATTTCTGCCATAGTCGCAGAGCATATTGCATTGAATTCACCTCCAGCATTCTCAGCGCAACAGTCTGAACTCAATACCAAGTTGCAGTACCTTAAATTTAAGCTTGACGAGGTGATTCAGCGCGATTTTTCTATCATGTTTGAGCGAATTTGCGTCTTGAACAATTTCAAGATTTTGACTATCAAAAGTATTGCGAAAAGCGATCCTACAAGTGCTGCTAGGATGTTACTCAGCAGAGACGATATTTTCGCCATTTCTGCTGGGGATATTTTGATGATTTCTAAGTGTAAAACTATCCAAATTGATGAGATCTATCCGGACCATAAAGTGGATAGCAACTGCTATGTAGATACTCCGGTAAGTGTCGGGAAAACTTTATTTTTCGTCCAACCTGGCACACGTGATCTCAAAACCTCATCTTCTTTTGCTGACTGTGGTCATTTACCATTAGGGGTTTATAATGATGGTACAAATCATTACAAATCATCTAATGGTTATGTCCACGTTTCTCACGTAAATTTAAACTTGCCACAAAACTTTGCAAATCAAAACATAGTTTTCAATTCTCCGCCTATTTTCCACTCGGACCTAGCCAAAATAAACACGGAGATAAAGTACATCAAAAATCGCATCAATACAGCAACCATAAAGTCAAACTTAGATGCTTCGCAAGTTCATGATCCAGATCTGAACACATTTCCTGAGCAACTACAGAATGAAGCTATGGAAACTGCTGATTTTCTTGAAACCAATGCTTTACAAATTCTACA